ACATAAAATAATAATAATAAAATATTTTTAAAAAACTATATTTGGTGTATAAATAATTTTTTAAATCACTTAGCAAAGTGAATGGGAGTGTTTGATTGGATTCAAATATATCATGTTATTTGTCTCATTTATTGGAGCTTTTGAGGAGACCACATGGATAGTGCTAGAACTATAATCAGTACGTAATTTTGGTGTCTGTGGATCTGTATATTGTTTGTGTTTAGTAAACTAGTTTTTTATGGGAAGAAGGGTAAGAGGCAGGAAATGAGATGCCCACCTCTGCCAGGGTTCTCAGCTTCAGCACTACTGACATTTTGAGGTTGGTTAGTCTTTCTTGTGGAGATTATCCTTGCATTTTAGGATGCTTAGTGGGATTCTTAGCCTCCATCTACAAAATGCTAGTAGTATCCCCCAGTATTCTGTGATGGCCAAAAGTATTTTAAGTTGTTGACAAATGTCTCCTGAGGCACAAAATTTCTCCACCACCACCACCACCACCACCTCCTCCTCCTCTTCCTCCTCCACCTCCTCCTCCTCTTCCTCCTCCTCCTCCTCTTCCTCCTCTTCCTCCTCCTCCTCTTCCTCCTCCTCCTCTTCCTCCTCCCCTTCCTCCTCCTGTTCCTCTTCCAGTTCCTCCTCTTCCTCCTCCTGTTCCTCCTCCCAGTGAAGAACCAGTGATTTATATCAAACATCTCATTTTATTGTTTGGGAGAATTCTGGAGATTAAAAAAGCCAAAAAACATGTTTCCGTAGAAACGTGGTGTTTTGAAAATTGAGTATTTTATAGGAAGTAGGGAAGAAAAGGTTTTGGTTTGAAGCCTATTTAGCATTCTGGAAGTTAAATCTTGTGGCTATTTGTATATTACCTGTGATAACTAAAGGCACACTGAATTTTAGAAGTTGATAAATCAATTTTTTTTTCAGCCTACTATGACAACACCATTTTTCACAGAGTTGTACCTGGTTTCATAGTCCAAGGTGGTGATCCCACTGGCACAGGAACTGGTGGAGAATCAATCTTTGGAGCTCCATTCAAGGTTAGACTCAATTACTGTTATTATAACCACCTTGAATTATTTCTTCAAAAGTGATTTTTTTTTTTTTAAGATGTGTTATGCCTGCATACATGTAAGTGTGCCACAGGCATACAGTGCCCACAGAGGTCAGAAGAGGGTGAGAGATCCCCAGGAACTAGAGTTTTGGGTGGTTGTTAGCCACTGTGTGTGTGCTGGGAACTGAACCTAGGTCCTCCACAAGAGCATCTGATGCTCTTAACCACTGAGCCATCCCTTCAGCCACATTAGTAATTCCTAAAATAAGGAAGCTTTTGAAAATCCCAAATTTATTCCTATGGGAAAGAATGTCTAGAGTTTCCTGGGCCTGTGTGAGTTTGTTTACAAATTTTCATAGAGGGTGCTGCAATTTCCTCACTGGAAATTGCTATATAGATTAGCCTTGAACTTGTGGCAGTCCTCCTGCCTGTGCTTCCTGAGTCAGGCATTCTAGTACTACCACGCTTGGCCACAGTGTGATTGTGGAGAAAAATAGCTGCACTCCTGGCTTTGGTTTTCAGATGATAGTGGCTCTGGAAAATAGGAAATTGTATTTAAAACTCTCAGGTGCTTAATATAGATGTTTTATATTAAATGTACAAGAATTCAATAAAAATATATAATAAAATTTAAAAACAAGAAAAAAAATCTCAGATGTCACTGTTAGACAATTACATGTTTTACTAAAAATTCTGTCTCATAATTTTAGAACCTCCACTTTGTAGGAAGTATGCGTTTATCTTATTAATCCTATTATTTAGTGTACCCTCTTTTTGACATTTTCTTCCTAAGTTGGCATTTTTGCTTTACTTTTAAGTACCACAGTTACATTGTTAATGTTTTCAAGTAGATCCTCTTAAAGATGTCATGCAGATACCACAGATGAGGGAATTTAAGCAACGAAACAGTTCTTCTGGATGCTGGGAAGTCCAAGGCTAAGGTGTCTGCCAGTTTGGTTCCTAGTGAGAACCAAGAATTATGTACTAAAGAAAAATAGCTTCTTAAGAAGCATTAATTATGCTAGGCATGGTGGCACATGCTTTTAATCCCAGCACCCAGGAGGTGGAAGCAATCAGATCTCTGTAAGTTCAGGGCTAGCCTGGACTACATAGTGGGTTCCAGGCCAATTGAGGCTACATTGTGAGACCCTGTTTCAAAAAAGCATTGATTATATAATGTGGCTACATTATAAATGATTTCCATTGTCAGGTCTGGAGGGAAATTCTAAGTAGCTAGTCAAACAAGAAAACCACCTTAGAAGAAAACCACCTTAGAATTCTAGACTTGCCCCTGCTGTGTAAATGGGACCAATGCCATTTCTGAGAAGATTCAACTTAGGATACCTTAAGACTTTTAAAAACACATAAAATCACATTTGCACACTCATGGTAGGTTCTTTGAATTGAAAAACAGGAAGAAAGCATTTATTCCATGACATTTAGAACAAGACAGGAAGAAGCGATAGTTGAAGGAGTCACAGGTTCAAAGATGGGTTTCTTGGAAAAACATTTTAAGAGTTTAGCAGATTCTGATGGAGTAGGGAAGTGTGTCTGAGTAGGGATGGGTGTCTTAGAACTGTTTCCCTTTGAGCGTCCTTCCTCTTTGTGTAAGTGAGCAGATTTCCGTAAGATAAGTTATGGGCCAGAATTTATCTAGAAGATACTTGCAGACTGCTGAATTTGGGTTTAAGAACATTAAAGGAATAGTAAATTTGGATTTGATTATACTTGAAAATCAGTCAAATAAAGCCTCAGCATTTTTTATTAGAAATTATGTGAGGCCTTGCTGGTCTGCTGCATAGCTCATTGAATATGAAGGGTCTTGTGATAGAACAGTCACTAAATCTCTTTTATGCTTCAGGATGAATTTCACTCACGGTTGCGTTTTAATCGGAGAGGACTGGTTGCCATGGCAAATGCTGGTCCACATGATAATGGCAGCCAGTTTTTCTTTACACTGGGTCGAGCAGATGAACTTAACAATAAACACACCATCTTTGGAAAGGTTAGTGTCCAGTTATTTTAAACCTATGGTTTGGTATTGGTTTTATGTTATTCCTTAAACTTCTGTGATACATATGATTGACTTATATAACAGCTATCTTCATAAAAATATTTCCTGTGTTTACTTATTTAAAAATGATGGAGTGTGTTCCGATTATGAGGCATTATAATGGACTACCCAAACTTTGTGTGCTTCAAATCAGTCATCTGTCACAGTCTTAATGTGTCCTTTCTTTAGTCATACTGATGGATGGTATTAGCTACTCTGCCGTTTAGCCAGTGTTGTTTTTGTGTTTTTAAAGATACGTGGCTAATAATATTTTGCAGTTTATTACTGACAAGTTCACTTAAATTTAAAGTAGAAGTTGTAATGACATTCATAGTTTTTACTGAAAATATTATTTTGAACAGTATCTATTTAATCCTGTTCACAGTTAATAGCCAATGAGGGAATGGTCTTCCCGTAGATTTTTCAACAATTCGCTTTAAAAAGAGATTCTAAAGATTTGTTTCTCTCATTCTTTTCCTTTTTCATCTGTATATTCCTGTATTTGTAATACTTAGATATTAGACATCACTAGCTTTTTAGCCCCCTCTGCTGGTTCAGGAAGAATTGTTTCCTCCGCCTAAGCAAGAGATTTGCTTTTTTGGACAATGAAAGGGAAAAATACCTTAATATAATTGGGAAACTGATACTATTTTAAAATCTTGAAAACTGTTGAATGAAAGGAGTCACAGGAAAACCATGAAATGCAACACTATTGCTTAATTCTTAACAGCATGGGTTAGGAAATGCTGTTGTCATGTTGTTTTGAGCATTTCTAACCAGGGATTTCTGGTGCTAGATAGTTCCCCATCTCTTAATTTAAGACAAAACAAAATGATACTTAATTAACTATTCTATACCTTTTTTGAAAACCAGTTGCAATTATAAAATTGAGTCATTAGAGCCAATGTGTAGAACATAGTGGTTGTAAAATGGAAAAGCCACCACTCTTGTGGTGGTGTGTTGTAATTTCTTCCAGCCTCTGTTCTCTTATCTGTAAAGGAGGGTAATAGTCATCCTCACTTTTAGGGTGTTTGTGTAAATTAAATGAGGTAATAGTCTATAAAGTTCTTATCATACTGTTAATGATTACCCTACTTTAAGTTTGTGATGCTTGAATTAAATGTTTTTATTCATTAAGGAAGTTATTTGAGATGATATGTTTATCTTTAGTAAAAATTGACATTAAGTATGTATTAGAAATATCTAAAAATACTTAATGAAGGGATTGAGCTGATCTGTGATTTTTGGTCTTAAAATGAACTTGCTGTACCTTCTTTGTTAATTGCATATATTCTTACATAGTAATTTTAAAATTCCCTTTTACTTATTTAAAAATATTTACAAAAGTCCACTCTTTAGACTTTTTTCAGAAGCCCCCTGTTTATTTAGGGGATAAGGTAGAGCTTTGCAGTACATTCTGTATTTTGCTTGCTAGGTTACAGGGGATACAGTATACAACATGCTGCGGCTGACAGAAGTGGACATTGATGGTGAAGAAAGACCCCGCAACCCACATAAGATCAAAAGCTCTGAGGTAGGAGCGTCACTCTTAGGTGGTGTCCTCTGAGGAGTCAGTGATTCACACATTTAAACTATTGAACAAAAGCTTTTTGCTGAATATCATGGCTCATTTTTATCTATTTAAGCTCAATTTCAGATGTAGAACCTTTTTTTTTTTTTTGAGACAGGGTCTCTCTGTAATCCCAGCTGTCCTGGAACTCACTATGTAGACCAGGCTGGCCTTGAACTCACAGAGATCCGCCTGCCTCTGCCTCCCAAGTGCTGGGATTAAAGGCATGTGCCACCACACCCAGCAATGTAGAACTTTTTTAAAATTAAAAGATTTGAATTCAGAGCTGAAATTTTAATGATCTAATAAATGAAAAGCTCAACTCAGAATGAGAAGTTAAAGGAATTAGATTTATTTTCTCAAAAAAAGTGACTTTTAGGTAATTTTGAGGAAACAAGGCCCTTAATTAAGAGTATTTGATTTGGAGTCCAAACTCCTGGATTTGTTTCCTGGGTTTCCCTTTTGTAAAATGGGAATATGACAGAATCTCCGTTACCTAATAGAACATGAGATTCTTGCAGGACAGTGAGGCAGTGTAAGAGGACTCACTACTCTAGTAATATTTATGTGGGGAAACATTTGACACTGGCATTAATGCACTTCAGTATTCTAATTTTTTGTGAAATTTAAAGGTGGAAAAGTATATTCAAAATATTTCTTTTCATAGGTTTTGTTTAATCCTTTTGATGACATCATTCCAAGAGAAATTAAAAAGCTCAAAAAAGAGAAACCAGAGGAAGAAGTCAAGAAATTGAAACCCAAAGGCACAAAGTAATCATAGTAGAAAAATTTTTCTTCAGCTTTAAAAGTGACACTGATTTATTTGTTTTTGTTTTGTTTTTGTTTTTTTTTTTTTTGTAATGATTGTTTACTAATATGGGAAAGGCCATTTTGAACCAGGAAGTAATCAAAATGATGAGTGTAGACTTTTTAAAAACTGAATATCTCTTAAATTTAACTTAAATTTAAGCTAAAGTGCATCATTTAAATGTCTATATAAATGTGAGTTAATAAATATTTTGTGGGGCTGGAGAGATGGCTCAGCGGTTAAGAGCATTGACTGCTCTTGCAGAGGACCCAGGTTCAAGTCCCAGCACCCACATGGCAGCTATGAATCGTCCTTAACTCCAGTTCCAGGGGAATCCGACGCCCTTTTCTGACCTCCCTAACATTGCATGACACGGGTGCACTCACATACATGCAGGCAATACACTCAGACACATAAAATAAATTTTAAAAATATTTTTTTAAAAATAAATATTTTGTATTCACTAATTTTAGTTATTTATATAAATGCATTATTGAGAAACTTTTACTATTTGCTTGTTTGTGAGTTAACATATCCTCAGTATAAAGACTTTGAAGAGTAGAGGACAGTATAGAGACTATTTTTAATACATATGCTATAGAATTGCATACTTTATTTAACCTAATTGGTGCTATTAATTTACTTTTGTTTTCTGTGCATGAGCACATCAGTGTTGTGCAATACCTATGGAGACCAGAAGAGGGCACCAGAGCCCCTAGACTGGCATTACAGATCATTACTAGCTTTCAAGTAGATGCTGGGAACTGAACCAAAATCCTCTGGAAAAGCAGTCAGTGCTCTTAACCATTAAACCATCTCTCTTGGTGCTATTAAAAATAATCTTATTACAAATACTTTTAAATAAAACTGTTTCATTCATTATTCTGTTTTCCTTGAAGATATTTTCTTTAAAAAAATAGCAATTAATTTTTAAAATAAACTTCAATATTTTATGTCAATATTCTTTACTAATTTTTCTGGTTTTTTTTTTAATAATACAGAGTTAGAGTTCAACTGTTTTATCGAATTGTAGCATCCTCCTTATCAGTATTAGATTTAGGCAGTTCTTGTATGATCCTGCCACATTCAGTTCATAAGCAAAGTTTATTAATCTTTCTGAGCTTCAGTTGTCCACGGCAAATAAAGTGGAGGTCATAGTAAGCACACCACCTGGTTGTCATGAAGATTAAATGACAAGGGGGTCTATACAAACACTGGTCATATAGGTGTTCGGTACATATTGGTTTCTTTCCTTGATATCCCACAAAATAGGTAGATTAAGTTGTTTTAATAAATTGTCAGGCCAGACAAGCTAGTTCATGCCTTTAATCCAAGCGCTCAGGATGCAGAGGTAGGAGGATCTCTGTGAGTTCCAGACCAATCTGGTCTACATAATGAGTTCTAGGCCAGCCAGGTCACTTTAACAACAGTAGATAATCTTGTGACAAAATAACTTACAGAGCTGTATGTTCGATTTTCTTTTAGTCTTTGATTCATGTATTTTTTCTCATTTCTGGATAAAAACTCATTGCCACTGTATTAACTAATTATTGTGATTTATCTTGATGACAAGTTTGAAAGTTCTTGTGTGGTTATTTATTTATTTATTTATTTATTGCAGATTATCTATTTTATTGGTTTCTTGTTTAAGTTTTTATTTTTTTGTTTTTAGTTGTAGCAAGCATGTTAGGGATGATGTGGTAATTGTTGCTTGCATGTAAGAAAAAAATTACTCAGTTGCATCCAAATCTCTAATTTTTCTAACACTTAAGAGAGACCTTTAATAACTTATCTTACTTGAGTTTCTTTAGTTTGAAAGATTTGAGAAGTTTTTGGCCCATCAACCCTTTGTGTGTCTTAGTTTTAAAATATTAAGATATATTTGCCAGTTATAATAAGTTATTATCACTAGCCTATCTATAATGGGTTATTGCCCTAGCCTCTCAAGGCTGTGTATTTATTAACTATTCATTAGTAAATTTAAATTTTCATTGTGCTTCTATTTTTGATGGCTACTAAAAGCTTTGTTATTTTGTCACGAAGGTGACAAAAACAATAATGGTAATGCTCAGGAAGAATTTTGGATCATCACTGAAGATAGATGCAATCTTGGTGGTCTGAGGCCAAACCCTTTGCTGAAAATTGTAGACTGTAGTACATTTCTGCTGAAGAACAAGTAATATTGTGCCAAAAGAATGTGCTTCCTCTTAAAAATCTGTTCAGTTGCTTGAAATTAGGATGAGTCTTGTCTAACTTTTCTTTCTCATTTTCTTCTTTTTTCTTTCCTCTTTTCTTTTTTGACTAGAAATTTTAATCTGCTTTCTTTTGGAGAAGAAGCAGAGGAAGAAGAGGAGGAAGTAAATCGAGTTAGTCAGGTAATCTCTAGTTTGCCCTTTTCAATTTTTATACCTCTGTACCCAACACAGAACATTTTCCATATCACATACATAGTGTATATTAAAACAATTTCTGAGTTGATTTTCTCTCTTAAAATATTGAACTTTATTTATTTTTTAAAAATATTTTAGTATTTTTATTTTGTGTGTACGAATGTATTGTCTGCATGTATGTAAGTGCACCCATATCGTACAGTGTCCATGGAGACCAGAAGAGGACATCAGATTCCCTGGAACTAGAGTTACAGATGGTTGGTAGCTGCCATGTGGGTTCTGGGAATCAAACCTGGGTCCTCTGCAGGAGGGACCAGAGCTCTTTACTGCTGAGCCATTTCTCCAGCCCTGAACTTTAGTTTTAGTTTTAGAATATTTTTCTATCAGTTAAAACTAGGCTTAAAGTTTTTTGAATAGCTCAACTTATGATTCAGATTTTAGTTACTGTTTATTTCTTTTGCTAGATGGTAATAGATGATAATTATCATCAGTGTAATAAATAGTTACAGACCAAAATTCTCATATTCAGTTTAATATTATTTCCCTATATTGTGTTGCCTCATTAATTCTCAATTCTTACTAGTCTTTTGGGATAAGTGTTATGAACCTTATTTTCCTTGTGAATAAATCCAAGTGTAGATAGGTTATAATTTGTTCAAAGTCACATATGTAGTAACTATGGCTGGACTTGAATCCAAGTCTAACTGTAGAATCTTGTTATTGCCTTGCGGCCTTTCATTCCAGCAGTCCCTCCCATACGCCTGTGAGTGTGGCTTTCTTAGTTTCCACCTCATCCCAGCACTTGTTGCTGCAGCAGCTACAGTATCTTGCCAGTATTTTGAGAGTACTCTCCTATTTGTAACCCAAGAAAAGCACCTTAGTGGCCTCTGGGCCCAAATGTTCTGCTATGTATTCCTTTCCAGAAAATTAGTGAGCACTGAGACCTAAAGGATCAGGTTCAGGGGCTGGAGAGATGGTATAGGGTTTAAGAGCAATGGCTGCTCTTGTAGAAGACGTGAGTTTGAATCCCAGCACCCACATGGCAGCTAACAACTGTGTGTAACTCCAGTTCTAGGAGATCCAACACCCCCTTCTGACTTCCAGGGCATTGCAGGATGTGGGTGCACTACATACATGCAGCCAATACACTCAAACACATAAAATAATACATTTTTTCTTAATTAAAAGAAAAAAAAAAAAAAAAAAAGAGGTTCAGAGACAGAGTCCCAGGTCTGCCTGATCTACATAGCAAGTTCCATGCCAGCCAGGGCTATGCAGTGAGACCCTGTCTTAAAAAAACAAAGTAATTAGGTTCAAAATCTTTGTCATAATAATTATCTTCATAACCTAGTCCTGCTTTATTTTCTTGACACAGTCACCTGTTTCTTACCAATGCTAGCAATATGACGGCCTTCAGATTGTGTTCTTATCCCTGTCTTTATCTGTAGGCTGCCATCATTAGTGAGCATGGTTTGGGAAGGTTCATGTTAAGCATGTAGTATGCACTCTTGTTATATCCTTGAATTTAAACTGAACTAAAATGGGCATGTGTAAGAGGTAATTTGGCTAATTTTTCTTGTTTTTGACAGCATCATTAAATCATCTGTTTAATCTTAATGAATTTAGTTACTGCCTACCTGTATACCAGTATACTAAATACTCAGAGATAGGCTGAATACTTCTGGATTCTTATCCTTCATTCTAACTATTTCAGGAAATGTTTGTATGTTAGATGACAGTAGTTAATTCATTTCTAAGCTTTTAAAAAATTATTTATTTGTAGTTTATGGGTGTTTTGCCTTCATGTTCACCCCTGTTGTACAATGCCCACAGAGGTCAGAAGAGAGCATTGAATCTCCTGGATCTGGAGTGATAGGTACTTGTTAGCGGCCGCATGGGTACTGGGAACTGAATCCAAATCCTCTGCAAGAGTAGCCAGCGCTCTTAACTGCTGAGCCATCTCTCCAGCCCCTACATTTATTTTTAAATGAAAATATTCTTCTTTTACTTATAAACAGCAATACCTCAGGCTCCTCAGTATTTTAGAGTTATTTTCTGTAGCTATCAGTGCATTAGTGTTGCATTAATGACTCAAATATATATCTCATCAAAATGAAAGACATAGCATACCAAGCATGCCATGATTCTGTAGGTGTATTTATGAATGGACAAAACCATAGGTATTAGATCTGGAAATTACTGGAGTTCCCTTTTGTCGATGTTATCTAAAGATATCAGATTCTGCAGGGCACAGTAATAGTCCTAGCATGTCTGTAGTCCTAGTACATGAGAGGCAGAGGCAAGAGGATTACAAGTTTGAGGCCAGCCTGGGCTATATAATCTTATTGCAAAACAAAACAAGATGTAGAGTTTCCTTGCATACCCATGCCTTATTTGTAGTGCCTCACATTCCCAGTTGTGGTGGTTTTAATGAGAGTGTTTACCCCCATAGGCTCCACATAATTGATGGTACTGTTTTGGGAGGTCTTTGAAGGTGTGGCCATGTTGCAGGAAGCACATCACTGGGGGTGGGCTTGGAGAGTTCTTAAGCCTTGCTGGATCCCCAGTAGCTCTCTGCTTCCTGTGCCTGCTTGAAGATATGAGAGCTTAGCTTCTGCTCCTACTCCAGTCACCTATGCTGCCATACCTCCCTGCCATAATGGATGCTTGCTCCCTTGGAACACGAGCTAAATAAACTCTTCCTTTTATAAGTTCCCTTGGTGTTTCCATCATGGCAACAGAAAAGTAACGAATATAGGTGGGCCTCGTTGTATAAGAAAACAAGTTGAGCATGGACCAGGATAGCAAGCCAGTAAGCAGCATTCTTCCGTTTCCTGTGCTTCAGCTCCTTAGAAACACTCCCAACAGTTCAGAAAGATTAAAATTGTTTCATTCTGCCAAGAAAGTTGCAAGATCAACATTCTAATGAAATGAGTAATACTATCCTGGTAGGTGTCCTTATATTTCTCCAGGCTCACACTTGCCTGGATGGGAGGCGTGCTCTGTGATAAAGTTCCTGTCACACATCTTATGCCTATGCGCCCTTACTCTGCACTTCTTTGTGAAGATCACACTAGTTTCCCAAGCCCTGACCAAGGTGAAACCCTTATCTTCTTCTCCATGCACTGTTTGTAACTTTTCTGTTTCTGGTTATCAGTATCCTCCAAAGAGCTTCAGGTTCACTTCTGACCTTCTTCAAACTATCAGTTAATTGTGTGGTCTTACATTGAGAAATGTATCAAATTCTTTCAGTCTTGTACTACTTTGCTGCTACTCTTGCTATCAGGCCTTCCTCATGCCCGGTCTACCTCCCTAACCTCCTCATAGCTCAAGTCTCCTTTTTCTTCTTTTCCTTTGTTCTTGGCTTTTAGAGCCACCTTTTTTGACTCCCCTTCACTAACGCTGCCCATTAACCTTTTTTTTTTGGTCTTTTTGAGTCAGGGTCTCACTGTCTTACTGTATCCCCAACAGACCTAGAACTCACTATGTAGACCAGGCTGGTCTCAAACTCACAGAGATCTACCTGCCTCTGCCTCCCAAGTGCTGGAATTGAAGGCGTGTGCCATCACACCCAGCAGCCCAATTCTTCCTAAACTTCTTTGCTGACAAAAATCACCTAAGGAAATTTTTTTTTTCTTAGATTATGGAATCAGAATTTTCCATCAAGAGGCTCAGTAAGCTATGCTTATAATGAATTCTCCTGGAATTCACCCAGGAAATAGCAGAAGCACAGCAATAGTTCGAAGTGGTTTGTTTTCTGTTTGCAGTTTTCCTGCATTCAGTTCTTGTCCACATCTTGAGGTCAACCACTTTTTTTTTGAGACAGGGTCTCCCTTTAGCCCCAGCTGGCCTAGAGCTCACTATGAAGACCAGGCTGGCCTTGAACTTACAAAGATCCGCTTGCCTCTGGGATCAAAGGTGTGTGCCACCAGGCCCACAACTTACTTATTTTAAACACTTCAAATACCATCATTTCTGAATCTTTTCCAGCTTTCTTGATCTTTTCTGTGTCTAACCTAACTTTTGCTTATGTTGCATCACATTTTCCTTTTAAAAGCATCTTTTTTGCTTCTTTATGTAAGAAGGATGTGCCCATGCTCTCATTGTGGACCACTCTAACACTATGTCCTGTATTCTCTGTTTTTTTAAAATATTTTATTTATTATTTTTATTTTATGTGTATGAGTGTATTGCCTACTTGTATGTGAGTGCCCCTGTGTCATGCAATGCCACAGAGCTCAGAAGAGGGCTTCGGATTCCCCTGGAACTTGAGTTAAGGATGGTTTGTAGCTGCCATGTGGGTACTGGGAATCGAACCTGGGTCCTCTGCAAGAGTAGTCAGTGCTCTTAACCCTCAGCCATCTCTCCAGCCCCAGTATTCTCTATTTTAATTATTGAATAATGTCCTAGGCTCCTTGAAGATAAATTCTGTCCATCTTTGAGTCAACAGGGTAGCAAAGCTTGAAATCAGTGTCATAGACATTGTTGACATCTTATAAACTCATTGAAATCTCAGTTTCCACTGATACTAGGCAACCTAGAATGACTGACTTTCTGAGCCTCAATGTTTTCTTTGTGTAACATAGAAATGACATACAGCATTTAGAGTTGTGAATGAGGATATGCATAGTCCTAGTTGTGATCATTTTACAATCCTGAAAAATGCCTTTGAAACTTAAGTGTCTTAAGATAGAACAATATATTAAATATATGATTGGTATTTTATTCTGAGAGCTAAAAACAAATTAAGTGAATTCTAATATGCTCATAATTATTATGTAAAAGCTGCCACCCTCGTGTCTGAGCAATCTGGAGAGCTGAGAGCAGCAACTCAGCCTTCTGAGTTTAAAAACAAAGAGCTGAGCACAATTGTCCCAGTGCCTTCCTGAGGTACCTGGATAGCTAGAGTGAGTGTGGATAGCAGGTATTCACCTGTGCCTGCTGACCTACTAGCAGCCCGTTCTGTACACAGGAGTGGGTCTTGG